GCTGCCTACACCCTCCTTTGCTGTCCCCCACCCTCTCCAACACATACACACAGGCACATGCATGCACACACACACACACACATACACACACACACATACCATGTGCAGCTCCCATTAATACTTTGGGCAAAAGAAAAAAATCAGAAAGCACAGAAGTGAATGGTATGGCCGTGCTCCTCTGGACCTCCCTGACTCAGTGAAGGCTTTACTTCTCCCATTGTCACATCCCCCACTAGGTTCAGAATCCCAACTCCATTATCCCCAAGATGTCACGACTACCCCTCAAGAGCTGATTTCTGTTCCATTCAGCAACCCTCTCCTGCAATCAGTGGTCACAGGCCACCAGTCCTGTGGCTGCCGGCCACACTCTGCCAATCGTCCTCTGACCATCTACCCAGGTTATCTCTTGCCCCATCTGCATGCCCATTAGCTGGTCAGTTTCCCTGTCTGCCTGTCTCTCTAAGGCTTATTGAAGCATAGGAATTATTTCACAGCATCAAAGAGCCATGGGAGGCTGAAACAGGGAGTTGTTTAATAGGTATAGAGCTTTAGTTTTGCAAAATGACAAGTTCTGGAGATTTGTCAAATATACTTAACAATACTGAACTGTACACTTAAAATGGTTAAGATGGTAGATTTTATGTCATGTAGTTTCACCACAATGAAAAATAGAATGTTTTTGTTTTGTTTTGTCATGAGTTGGGATCTCACTCTGTCGCCCAGGCTAGAGTATAGTGGCATGATCACCACTCACAGCAGCCCTGACCTCCAAGACTTAAGCAATCCTCCTGCATCAGTCTCTTGAGTAGCTGGGACTACGGGGATACACCACCATTCCTGACTAATTTTTTAATTTTTTCTTTGTAGAGATGAGGCCTTGCTGTGTTTCCTAGGCTGGTCTCAAATTCCTGGCCTCAAACAACCTTCCCACCTCGGCCTCTCAAAGTGCTGGGATTACAGGCATGAGTCACTGCACCCGGCTTGCCTTTTCTTTTCAGTGTTTATTCTAAGCATTTGCCTGAGACCACATAGAATTCTGAACGATCCTTTTAAAAAAAAAATATTCTATTAACATTCCCTTAGGATAAAGTCCCAGGGTAGAATTATTGGCTAAGGGTGTGGACATTTTGATGGATCTATCCATGCTATGTGTGTTTTCGGATTCTCTAACGGGACACATGAGTGGCAAACCCAGCCTTCCATCTGAAAGAACAATCAAAGCCCAGAAAAGGATTTAACTAAAGTAATGGGATCATGGATGATTTTTACTCCAAATATTTCTTAAATATTTTAATTGAAAAAAATAGCATTTGAAAACAGCAGAATCTCTTCCACGGTTTGTTTAGTGATGTGGGCATCTGAATGGTTATTTTTTTTAATCATCTAGCCCAAAATGTCATGAAGAGTTATTGATAAGAGTAAAGACAACCAACAGACTCAGACACTCCTTCTGTTCACATCAACTAGCTGAAAGTTCACCTCCCACACCTCACTAGAGATACAGCAGGTGTGGTGGTTGAAACCTCAAACTCCAGGTTCCAACTCTGGTTCTGCTACCCAATAGCTGTTGATCTTGGGTGAGTAATTCATACTCTGTGCTCTGGACCCTCATCTGTAATGACAAACTGACAATGAGGTACCATGCAATGCCCAGCATACAGCCATCTCTAAACATAAGCTAGAGTAAACGGCTTAAAGCAAAAAAATATTGCGAGAAGGCAGAGTGAGGGTGGGATGAAGGTTAGGTCTTGTGAGCAATGAAAAGAAAATCTGAGGTTTTTTTTCCTAAGTATGAAGATGGTTGTACTCACCTCACATGTAGGTAAATATAGGTGATCAAAACTCAGCGACTCTTGGGACCAGGACTTCTGAAAGACTTGGGTCCAGTTTCCTGACCGCGTCTAACCAGCTGTCTAACTTTAGACAAGTCACTTAATATTTCTGTTCATCAGTTCCCTTGTCTTTATAACTGAGATCCATTCATTCATCTAATAAATGGTTAGTGAGCACTTCACCTGGTCCAAGTACTATGCTAGTGAGTAAATGAGCCTCTAAGACAGGCTTTCAAGTTTGTGCCCAAACTGTCTCACTAACTAGATGTGTGACTTTGAGAAAGTTATGTATACTATCTGGGTTTCAATTTCCTTGTCTGCAAAATAGAGAAAATAAAGGTTACTGTGTCATAGTATGATTGAGAAGAGCCAATGATTTAATGAATGTTAAACTAGCATAGAGCTGGGCAGGGACCACGCACTTGGGAAACATTAGCAGCTGTTAAAACAGACAACTTCCTCCCACCTTCTCACCTTGACCTTGACCTTCAGGATCTTACAGTGGAGACTTTCTTTTTTTTTTTGAGTTGGAGTCTCACTGTCACCCAGACTGGAGTGCAGTGGCCGCT